CAAGTGACAAGTGAATATTTTTTACATGTTTGATTTTATAAGTGGTTATGGGAGAAAACAAAATAGAATGGAATGAAGGAAAGAATTTTGGTGGAACGTAAATCTTACACCTTAAATTCTAAATTTTAATATAAATATTAGGGTAAAAAGTTGTAAAGCATGTATAAAATGATATAATAAATAGGATAATTTAGAAAATTTTATTTGTCTTGTCCAATAAAACACCATACTTTTCTTAGTTATGTATATTTGTGATATATGCACTACAACAAAATTTAGTATTATCGATAATTATTTAATGACAATAAATAAATTGTCTCTATTTTATTATTTAATAAAAATATTAATGACTATTATATAATGGCTACTAAAAATGTGTTTACATGACATCAAAATTTACTATTAGCGACAATTATTTGTTAGAAAAAACTTAAGTCCCACATCGACTAGAAATAAAATAATTAAAGAGTATATAAGTGAATGATAACTCTCACCTTACAAGTATGTCTTATAAGGTCGAGTTAGGCCTATAACTTACTATTCTAAGTTAGTATTTAGGAGATAAGATAATTAAAAAATTAAAAAATATATACTTAGAAGATAACATTCATCTTCTAAGTCCCACATCAATTATAAATAAGGTAACTAAAGAGTATTATAAATCTTTTTTTAAACTTTTAGCGGCAATTTTAAATGCCAATAACAAATGACACAAAAAGTTATACACTTTTCTCGACCATTATGAGGGTCTTTACCAGCATATAGAATAATTGTCGGTAAATGTTTTAGCGACACTGCATACAATGGTTAATGTGTGAAATGCCGGTAAAAGATTTTGTAACAATTTTTATTGCCACTAAAAGTCATATTAAATGCCACTAAAAGTCTATTTTATTGTAGTGATGTAATTAAGATATATATTTTATGTTGTTTGGTTATTTTTAACTTGGTGAGGCGAAAGTTAGAGTTTAAATAACTCTAAACTTAAGTTATAAAGCATATAATAATTTAAGTGCATGAGAGTTGGCTCTAGAAAGACTAGAGTATATAAAGTGAATTCTAATGAATGAACTTCATAAGTTCATAACTTTAAAATTTTAGACAGAAGTTAGAGAGAGGTATTTTAGGACCAACAAAGTTTGATCTTTGATTCGATTCCACCAAAAGATCCATTTTCTTCCCATGGCATGGTAAAATTTGAGATTTAAATTGAGGAGTTGAGAATCTTAAAGAGAAGTTATCGTACGAGAGTTCGAGGTTTCTTAAGTTTCCTTCCTTTCTTATTCTTCTTTGAAAGATTCGAAGTAAGGGAAGTTTTTTGTTTGATTTTCTAAGTTGTAAATGGTGTTTTTGTTGTGTTGATCCATGCTTTGGTAAGCATTGAAGCTAAAATTGAGGATAGAACTTGGTGTTCTTAGTGTTCTTGGTGAACAATGAAGAAATTGATGATCTTTATGCAGTTAATGATTACATGTGGCATTTTATTTAGTTTTTGTTGTATGATGATACTAGATGACTATTTTTGAGTTGCATGTATGAATCTTGTAGTTAGAAAAGAGAATTTCTAGAGTTGTTATGTTGTTCTTGAGTTGTGTTTATTTTTTAATTCATGCATGTTTTATGGATTTGATCACTTAAAACGTTCATGGGGGTCTCTCCAAGCGAGCATGTGAGGTCGTTCAAAGAGCTCTTTGTTTGGCTTGCTCAAAGCGCTCATTGTAGATTCTTAGAACAATATTCAGTAGCTCCAAACTAGGTTTTGGTAGTTTCGAGCTAGCTATTGGTCACTCTGAGCGAGTTTTGGGTTGCTTAAAGTGCATGTTTCCCTTTTAAACTTAAATTTTTCTCAACTTATCTCATTAAGTTGGTTGTTTACATGATGTATGATGAAGATTGAATGTAATTCAGTATACGTTGATTTATGATGATGATTTAAGTTGTTAAAGTTGAAAGTTGATTATTTTTGAAGTTGTATGATGTAAAGTTGCATGATGATGAGTTGTATAACCATGTAGTTGTGAGATGCATGTTTAAGTCATATAGTTGTGTTGATCTGTTGACGTGTTGTTTTCTTTTATAAGCTTACCTTTGTTTTTTTCTTATTGTTGGACTGCAATAATCATATTTTGTATAAAAGTAGACATGATTAAGTTGGAGGGCATGCTTCTGGAGGGTTATGTTGTTAATGACTTTACTTTGTTATGTTGTTCTAATACAACAATTATATAGAGATGCTTGATCGACGCTAAGACTTGTGATTTTATAGTATTCTATACTAGATGCATATTTGTATATATGTATAAAGTTTTGTTATAACCCCATTAGGGGATTTACATTTTAAAGTCAAAATTGACAGGACTATTTTATATTTTCTACACATTATACAAATATTTGTTGTATGAATGTCTATGATAGTAAATTTTTTAAGTTTTTACTTGCATTATTACTGTGTCGTATTAAGTGTATTGACATGATAGATCATTACATCTAAATCCGGTGTTTATGCATAGCAAATAAGTTAAGGTATAAAATATTTTATATTGTACTTTTAGTTAGAGTTGTCAAAACGGGCCAGCCCGGCCCGTTTGGCCCGGCCCACCTCAACCCATTTTTTAAGTGGGCCAACCCAGCCCCGCCCACCAAATATATTATGCAAATTTTTCTAGCCCGGCCCACCACGGGTTGGTGGGCTAAACGGACCGCCCACCAACCCACCTGATTTTTTTAAAAAAAATAATTTAAAATAAATTTCAATATAAAATAATATTTAATCTAAAGTAAAAATTATTAAACTAAGTATCATGGATACAACATTAAAATTAAATTAATAAGTGTGCAACTTTAAAAAATTAAAACAAAAAATAAAAAATCTTTCATGAGAGTGATTATTCATCAATATTAAATTTTATTAGAGGTTTGGATAGATAAATTTATAGTAATTTCATATTGTTTAACATTGATTTTATCTTTATCTATAAAAAAAATGATATCTCATTAAAATAATGCATATATAATAATAAATAGTTAAGTGAGTTGTTAGTGGATTGTTAATGGGTTTAGGGGATGAGTTGGTAAGTGGGTCAGGTGGGCCGCCCGGCCCACCACGAGTTCAACCCGGATGGGCCGGGTCGAAAGTGGGTCGGGTCACTTTTTTTGACCCATCATAAATTTTTTCATTTTTTTGACCCGGCCCGATCCATTTTCAAGGTGGGCCGGGTTGACCCATGAGCTAGAGCCCACTTTGACAGCTCTACTTTTAGTGCCAAACAATGTACAATACAAAAAGTTATGTTGTGACTCAACTATTTGTGTTGTGCTCTTCTATTTTGTCTTGTAATTAACCGGTACATCAAACGCACTTTGATGGTAATATTCATAATTGTTTGGCCTCTTTTACATCTATTATGCTTTGTTTGGTATAAACGAAATAGTGAAGAAATGAAGCAAAGAGAGACGAAATAGCAAAGAAAAAAGATTACAATCGTTTGATGTTAACGAAATTTGTCAGCGAAGAAATGAAAAGGTGTGTCTCATACCTTTTTTTTTCCCTTCACAAATCAGCGCAAAAGTGAACGGTACATACTTAAAATTTAATTGTATTCGAATAAAACGTACTCACGGTTGAATAAAAATTGTTACTCACGCAATTTTTTTATTTATTCAAATAAATAAAACTTTTATTCAAATATGTTTGCTTTTAAATACGTAAATCTTCATTCGAATAAAAGTAAACTCGTTCGATTTTTTTATTTGAATAAAATTTTAGACTTTTATTTATTTTAACTATTTATTTTATTTAAATTTATTATTTAAATTAATTTTTAATCTAAAAATATTACTTTAAATTATTTACTTACTTTTAATTAGTTATTTACTTTATTTCATAATATTTTTTTTATTTAAATGATTAAAATAAAAAATAGTTAATAATTTTTTAAAAAATATTCTTTCATTTTTTTACTCTATTATTTATTTATTTATTTTTCTCTTTTTTCATATATTTTATTTCTTACATTTTTTTTTCTATTTTACTAAACATACATAATATTATTTCTCTTATATTTCTTTTCAATCAAACAATCAAATTTTACTTTATCTTTTACCTATTACTATTCATCTATTTTTTTCTGTTCTATTTCTCACTTAATTTTTTTCTCTCTAGCAAACGCAAAGCTAGTGGCTGCGTGGAGATGCATGCATGGGAACAAGTACGTGACATGGGTGGGATTAGCCAACCTGTCCCATAAGCGAATATTGTCGATTCTTGGCTGATCTATGAAGTCTCCTCTACTGTATTTCTATTATTTGGGGACCCTTCCTATTAAAAAATGACATTGATTGGGCCCCTTTACGACCAAACCCATGCAAGAGAGACACAACCACAAGGTCCACAACCGTAGCCACTGCTTTGAGCAGCCAAAAACAAAAGGTTAACATGACGTTTCAACAATAAGATATAAAATATTTATATCTAGAACTATACCAGATTTATACACAAGCCCAACTAATGGTCAACCCAGAAAAGAAATTATGATTAGCCTCATATTCTGAGAGAATCAGGATAATCAAGCAAAATGTGGCGTGTGTATACCATGGTTTCGTGTACTAAATATTATTGCAAAAAAAAAAACAAAAAAGACTAAGCCTTCCAAATTAATCTTATCATCTGGATTGCATGTAGTGAGTAAAGTGACTGCAGAATCCTTCATTTCTACATTGAAAATCCAATGGTTCACATATTTTCGCCTGGATTTTATTATCTTTTTAATTACGAAAGAAATAATTTACTGTTAAGAATTTCGTGCACATGTTTATCTTTTTACTGTCGGGAATCCTATTCGGTTAATCATGGCCAAATAGAAAAGAAAAAAGACGTACATGACATACCATCAGCTTTAACATGACAAGACTGGCATTATTTTTACTTTTACGTAAAAGCAACTCGAACGGCATTGATTCACTTAATTGACCAAATTTATCCTACATTGTTTTATATAGAAGAGAAAGCACCGATTATTTGGTTTTTGTGTACTTTATGAAAGCATAGATGGCTTCTAACTACTTCCTCTTGTTTCTTCTTGTTGCTGCTACTTTACTTTCTGAAGCAGATGCTAAAAAGACGTTATCTTCGGACTTCTACTCTAGCAGCTGCCCGGAACTCTTGCCTATAGTGCAAAAAGAAGTTATAAAAGCCATTAAAAATGAAACTCGCATAGGAGCTTCCTTACTCCGATTGCTTTTCCATGACTGCTTTGTAAACGTGAGTATATGCATTAATTTGTCTTATTTTAGTGATCTTCTGTTTTTCTCAATTTGGCTTGACTTGACACAATGATCAGGGCTGTGATGCATCAATACTGTTGGATGATACAAGCAGTTTCGTAGGAGAGAAAACGGCAGCACCTAACAATAATTCAGCAAGAGGATTCAATGTGATCGATGACATTAAAGCCAAGGTGGAGAAAGCATGCCCAAGGGTTGTGTCCTGTGCTGATATTCTTGCTCTCGCTGCTCGAGACTCTGTTGTTTATGTAATAAACAATCCATATAGTATTAATCTATGGCACTTAAAAGGCTTAAATCTGAGAAGGGTTACATTTGTTTTGATGGGGTTAATGCTTGTTGAAATTTACAGCTAGGGGGGCCATCGTGGAAAGTAAGCTTGGGGAGAAGAGATTCTATCACAGCTAGCAGAGCTGATGCCAATAACTCCATTCCTTCACCCTTACTCAATCTAACCGCCCTCAAAACAAGTTTCTCTAACCAGGGGCTCTCTGTGAAGGACTTGGTAGCTCTTTCAGGTACTAAGTACTACTCTCTCTATCTCAAAATTACTTAAGTTTAAGAATTTTACACTCAACTTCAGAATAACAATAAATATATCAATTTTTTTATATAATTTTATTCTCTTAATAAATATATTATTTTTAATTGTGATGTTAAAATAATTTACTAGAAATAAATTACAAAAAAAAATACCATAAAGAGTAAGCATATCATTTATTTTGAGAAAATTTCAAAATGTTGAATAGTAAAATTAAGACAAGGGGTAAATGCCTAATACATTAAATGAAACATAGCAAATCTGATTAAAATCACGTGCTAGATAAAAGCTTTCTCAAGAATATTTTTAGGCTGTTTTAGATTAAAATAGGATGGGAGAAGTTATGAGTGTTAGTTAAGAGGCTTGCTCAACCTATATATTGCCAACAATGACCACTCTTTGGTTCCAAAGTTTTTTGCTTGGAAGAAGAGTAAAATACTTCGATTGACTCGAGTATCTTTATTAACAGGTGGACATACTATTGGCCTTGCTAGATGCTTAACATTCCGAGGACACATCTATAATGATTCCGATATTGATGCTTCATTTGCCAAGTCTTTACAGAGCAAGTGTCCAAGAAGTGGAAATGATGATTCACTCGCACCCCTTGACCTTCAAACTCCCACCCATTTCGATAATCTATACTTCAAGAATTTACTGAATAAAAAGGGTCTTATCCATTCGGACCAGGAGCTGTTCAACGGCGGTTCCACAGACAAACTGGTGAAAAAATATGCTATTAATACAGATGCATTTTTTAAAGCCTTTGCCAAGGGCATGGCCAAAATGAGTAAGATCAAGACTCTCACAGGAAGCCAGGGACAGATCAGAATCAATTGCAGAAAAGTCAATTAAAAATGATGCATCCTTCTTTCAAAAATTATGTATTCTCTTCTGTCAAGCAACCTGGTTTATCATCATTCATCAATAAACTACCTCGTTTTTTATGTCTATGTACATTACTTTGCCAAGCTTTTCATCTTCCCAGCTATCATGTTCGACCAGCAGAATCTGTAATGTAATCTCCACGTTCATCAAGAAGTCAGATGAAAATATTCGCATCAATGCCATTTGTTAAATTTGTTTAAACTGTTGTATGGAGTATATGGATCCTGTAACTATGAATCAGGAATGCAACTAGATGAGATTTAACGATTGTCGAGTTAAAATTCCAGAAAGTCTAGATCTCTTTGCGCCAGGCTAATAAAGGCTCCGAGCAATCATCAATGTAAATGTAAAACAAGGCATGACATATCCAAATCCAATCACAAATTCATGAATTATACGAGTGAAACAAGATACGTTTCAATTAACGTGTAAGTGTAATTGGTCAGTGTCAAACAACTTTTCCTTTGATTTCTACCCATTAGACAACAATTGGGAAGATTTCTCTAACATTTATATATTAGCCTAGTTATCATTATTTTCACTGCGATATCACAACTAACCAAAACATGGATTAGAAAGATTCTCAAGCTGCCAGTCTCATTACACGTATTCTAATTAATCCAGCTCATTAACAGATTCAACCTCCTCCTCCGGTAGTTCAAATTCATCGATCTCTTTAAAGTAGGCGTTCTGTTTTTCAATATAATCTTGCAGCTGTGCATCCTTGGACACGTCTTGTTCATTAGACACAGCACGTCGCTTCTGAAAACTCAGCAGATATGATCAAACACTTGACCAGAACATCCATTAATTAAGAACCATATAGAGTTAATTTTTCAAATATAAAAACTAATCCAATGAGTAATGACTAAAACACATCAGAATCAATTATTCCATAGAAATCTGCAGAACCATCATAAACAGAGTAAACATTAACCAACCTATGGAAAATACTTATGGCAAGTTTCAACACACACAAATTAAGAAGAGTTGAAAGTTTTGCATGGAACCGTTGTAGTCATATTATTTACCTTCCTGCAACGGACTGTTAGCAGACTAGCCTTAGGTAGGTCCAAACCTTCAAGCTCAACTCCATCACTTTTATCTCTGTTTGGAACGAAAGAAACATAGACGCCAACCGAGTAATTCATCGGTGGAATTTTATGGAAAATAGAAGAAAAGTAATAATTAAACTTTGCTCCCTTAATCATTGTAGTATTGAACTTAGTATGACTAAAAAACGGAGGGATAGTTAATGTTACCGAATAGTAGAGAACTTTGGATTCGTCATTGTTTTTTTAATTTTCCTTTTCTTTTCATTGAGAGTATGAATTCGGTTGCAGAATGCGGAAATTGGCTCAGAAACATGAAGGCCAACTGTACCTGAATTCAAAAAGTAAGAAAGAGTTATGGTTAATATAGCAATGTGGAATTAATTTTAGGCGAAAAGGAAAAATTCATAGTTAACATGTGATTGAATAAAAAAGAGAGTACCGCGTGTGGTGTTGAATGTGGAAGAGGAAGAAGACGACGATGGAAGGGGATTGGGTTTGGAAGGGTTAGAATTGGTGAGATCCGAAAGAGGGTTTCGTCTTCGCTCCAAAGCTTTTGCATTCTTCATTTCAGTGTCTCACTCACACTCACACTTCTCATGCATTCTGTTATATTCTCGTTTCCCCATGGCGGGAAATTTCAGTTAGAAAACCACCATCGCCTCATGCCGTCTGCGTGACTTACTTTCACTTTTTTTTTTTTTTTTAATTTCTAGCAAAGGACATGAAATCGTGCTAAAATATAATAATATTAATTAGAAGTATGAGAACGGTTCATTTCTCAATTTTTGTAATATTTTTTATCTTAAAAAAAATGTTATTAGATAGCTATCCTTAAACATGTTGAGTGTGTATAAAGATTGTATTTTATTAAAAATAAAATAAAATTCATTTGACTGTTTTAAATAAGCCTTGAGCATGGATTATTAGAGTGGGTATAATGTGGAAAGTTGAGATAGTCTTGCACACATCACATGTTAAAAGAAACTAATGAATTGTCTTAACTGTAGAATTTTTTATATAAAAAAAAAAACTGGATTGGAAATCAATTTAATACTTTAATAAGGATATTACTATTTTTTGAAACGTTATTTTTTTGTGCTATTTTAAAAACAAGGTATAAAGCTCAATTAATATATTAAATTAATTCTTAAAGATTAAAATGTTGGTTAATTTAATTGCTGCAATTAAAAATATATCCCTTTAATTATTGAAACTATTAAATATTATTTAATTATTTCTTGTTATTTTTATAATTTTAAGGGTAAAATATCTACTATCTACTATCTACTGTTTAATAACATTCGGGACTAAAATAATAATTATTTGACAATTTCAAAAACTAAATGACATTTTTCTTTTGTAATTATAAAGATTAAATTGAGAAATATTTGTGAATTATAAATTAATCATTATGATAAAACATAAAAATCATGAAATGGTCGCATCCACTAGATGCTTTGTAGCTTCCATTTGGGTTGATGATGATCACGTGAATTAATAATCAAGTCTTAAAAGATTATTTAATCTTGAGTTTGTTTACTTTTAGAGCTTGTTTGATATACATCACACGATAAGGCTATGATGTAAATTACATAAATTTTAGCTATATAATTTTTTGTAAAAAATAAAGATAAAAATCTATGATGTAAAAAAAAATACTAAAATTTTGTAAAAAATAAAGATAAAAATCTATGATGTAAAAAAAAATACTAAAATTTTGATATGATATATACGTACAATTTTATTGTGACATTGACATATATAAGATTCAGTGTTGAATAAGAATAAGATATAGTACGTACTAATTTATATTGGGTGATGTATCATAAAAACCTTGTTTTTCATAGAGAAAATAAACCTACAATATATATATATATATAAGCTGAATGTTCTGATTTCCAGATATTTTTTTAACTAATATTGGTTCTCCTAATCAATGGTGTCTGCTAATCAAGATTCAAGACTGAGAAAGTATAAGGAAAACCGCTTGTATACCCAATGCAGCTTTCAAGACCAATTGTATAGATTTGGAACCACTGTATTTGGACCCCATAGCCACTCCCAATTACGAAAAGTTCATTAGCACATGAAGTGTAATACTACCAAAGTATTTGTGGAATACAAACGTCTACTTTATCCAAATAATGCTCCTTTCAGCTTTGAATAATTATTCGCAAAAAATTATGAATATCACTGTAGATCAATACTAGCTACAATATATTCATCTTATTTAATTATTTAATTTTGAAATTGAAAGTTTTTAATTATAAATTAAGTATACAAATTTTTAAAAAATTTAAAAATAATTAATATTTTATTTTATTAATTTAAATTGACAAATATTTATAAAAAAATATCATATACATTAATTTAAATTCATGTGATAAAATATCATAAGATTTTTAAATTTTTTAAAAATTTATAAACATGATAATAATTTTTAATTTTTTTTAAGATTTTACAAACGTGATCCATACATTAAAAACTTCAATTTAACGGTTGAATTGTTAAAATTTAATATAAAATAAAAATTATTAAAATAAATTTAAGTAAATTTACTCTTGAAATAATTGAATTTCATTTTCATATATATATATATAAGAGATAATTATCAAGACAAAAATTGATAATAATTGAGAAATTTAAAACATTATATTCAAATTATAAATTTAAAAACAAGAAGACATGACATAACATACATATCTATATTCCTTCTAAACCTATATATAAATTTTAAAAAATACTTAAATTTTTTTAATTTCAAATATGAATAAATTTTAACTAAATAAACTTTATTAAGATTTTTTATCCAAAAATCTCTTAAAGAAATAAATGATAATACTATTTACAATAATAAGATTAATGATAATGTAGTAAATATAATGTATATTTTACATAAAAAAAAATAAAAATGAAATATATTTAATTATATTTCTTTGTGTAAAAGTAATTATCTTTTATACATATAAATATAGAGGGTTTATTATGATTAAAGTTAGTGGTGCAGATGTCGTGGCCGACAGATATACATTTATTTAAATGTGGATACAGACATAATTTTACATGCAGTGTCAGCTTACAAAGTATTTTTCTGTTATTTGGTTCGGAGTTTTTGCTTGTGATAGTATAGCATATCCAACTCCAACGAGAGAGTTTTTTTTTTTTTTTTTTTTTTTTTTTTTTTTGTGAATTCTCAAACGGAGTTAATTTATTTGAAC